GTTTAAACACACGAGTGCGTGCCTTGGGTGTGCGTGGGTGTTTGAGCATGTGTGTGGAGCAAGGGTGTGTTACGCCATTAAAAAAAAAAAAAAAAAACACAGTTTATTAAAATTTTATTTTTTAAAACTCATTTTCAATTTTTTTATTTATTTGTTTTTACTTGATTGCTGTTATAAAAGGTTAATAGACCTCCATGTGATAGCATTGTGCAGGTGACAAGCACTCTTTATGGAGACTATTAGACCCCAGTGACTCCCCTGCTCTTCACAGCATCTATCTGAGTGCAGATTGGCTTGGTTAAATGTGTTCCTTGTACCCGCCAGGAAATAGTGGATATGAAACCGGAAGTGATGGAATCATAGTCCATTCTGGTTTCTTTGTTTACAGGTTTTCCTTTTTCTTACACCACTCTCCTTTCTGAAGCCAGAGGTTGCAGTCCTGGGCTGCGGTTAAGAGTGGGAGAGCCTGGGAACCACAGGGGGGGGGCCCTGGCGGGTGAGGGGGGGGGGGCACTTTGCCGCCTGCTCTGTGAAAGTGATCAGCGTCTATAAAGCCATTGCATGACTTTCACTTTGAACCTGGGAGCTGGCTGAACAAACCAAGCACAAGCTGATGGCCATCAGCTTGTGATTCACAGTTCACTCTGTAGACATACATAGTACATCCAAAGAGCTGAACTGATTAACTTAACAAAATGATTCATACAGTCAATTCAGTTCTGAGATTTGCACTGTTCTGCCGCACAGCACTGCCCTGTATGGCAAAGCAGGAGACCTGGTTTCTCTCTGCTGTAGTTGTTACACCTAGAGCCAACTCACACTACTGCATGACCATCATTTTTCCACACTGAAGGAACTCCAGTCACCACAAGGACACACAAAAAAATAATTGTTTTTATGTGTCCTGTTCATGCCGAAATGCAACAGTGATCTGCAATCAAAGACAGACATGCTGTATTTTATCACATCACACTGGACAGGATCGCATGGCATTGTACAGCAGCACAGTTCACCAAGCTGCTGTACAGTGACATGAATGAAATGTCAATTTTGTACATATCAAATAAAGTTGAGTGTAAAAAAAAGGGAGTTTGTGATGCGCTGAATTGTGCACAACACCACCTCCTACCAGCAGCTCACTGCAGCCAAAACGTACTGCAACTAGACAGTAAACTTCTGCAGTTCACTGTGTGGCAGCTGTCTGTTTAGGTATGAACAGGCCCTTACAGTTCTTGTCCTTCCACCAGCCTGTGACTGGGCAGTGGTAGGAGAGGATGAGTTCATCTCCCGGTCACTCTGCTCTCTCCTCTTATTCGCATGCTTTTTTTAAGCACTTAAGGCGAAGCTACAACCAAAAAGGGAAGTTCCGCTTTAAGTCTTTGTCCCCCGCTCCCCATTAAGGATTGGCACGTTAGGGGAGTGGGCACCCGAATTTGACAGGTACTCGCACCCACTTCCTCTAAGGCGATCGGAAGCAGACGTTGACCTCCCCCCTCTCTCCCCGTAGTCTTGTGGGACACGTGACAGGTCCCAGAAGACTACGGGGCCATTCACAAAGCACAGCACCTCTCGCACATGTGCAGTGGGCACCTGGCTGGGAAGCTGCAAGCTGTCATAGCTGGGTGCCCATGCTAAAGATGCTGGCGCCAGGGAGAGAAGACGGCGGTGGTGAGGACACCGCAAGATCGTGGGACAGGTAAGTTGCTGTATTTTAAAAGTCAGCAGCTACAGTTTTTAGAGGAGATGGAGGGCATATTTAAGTATGTTAAGAATACATACTTAACCTCCCTAGTGGTCTGATTATTTCAGATTTTTGGTGCTGAAAGCGGTACCATTATTTTGCATGGAAATATGTAGTTTTTTTATTGTAGGCCTGTCATTTTTAGGAATAACTCACTGAAATCTGTCCGAACAAGAGTCTATTAAACATCCCGGGTATGATAAAAATTGAAACACGAAATCATAAATTATAATTTAATAAATAATCATAAAAAATAATAATATATAATAATAATACATTTAATTCAATAATATAATCAAACCAAAAACACTGAAATTTGAAATATAGCACCAAGTTTGCACATCGCTGAGCAAAGTCGCAAAATTGTTTTCAGTGTCTGATGACGAATTTCCCCACAAATCATTATCACTCAATTCTGCAAGTGGTTCTGATTTACTATCGCTGTTCTCTAGCTGGTCTAAAACCACTTTTGACCTAAAGGGACGCTTTTTGGACCCCATGGACTTTTCTCAGTTTCCAGGCAGAAAGAACAGTAAAAATGCAGGCAGGGCACAGGACAAAGCACTAGGGACAAAATGTATGTGAAATGGGTTGAAACAGCAATGTTTTACTATGTAAAATTTGTTTGGAAAAAAATTACATTTTTTAAAATTTTCAAATTTCCCGCCTCAGCCAGTGCCCGTACGTCCCGACGTCACAGGGATCAGAACACAGAAGCCGGATGCCGGCATCGGCCGGAGGAGATGGCCGGGGACGCTGCAGGGGACACATCGCGGGAGTGCAGGACAAGGTAAGCTTTGCAGGGACTCCCTATGCAGCGCCGCATGGTAAGCTCGGGGTTACCGCTTTTGGTACTGACATTTTACCCCAAGCTACACTCGGGAATACCGCTAGGGAGGTTAAAGTGCTACTAAGCCCACAACAGTAAAATCAGTCTGTATATGCAGTAAAGCATGCTTGTTATACTCACTGTGGAACCTAAGGGGTTAATCCTCTGCATTGTATAAAAATGATGTTTGATTCTGACTTCTCTGATCCTCCCCTTCTTCCAGTGTCCCCCTCATCTCCTGATAAGACATATAATGTGGAGACACTGCACATGCTCAGTTTGGTGTGTACTGCTAGAGAGGGTTTTTTTTTCTTGGGAGAGTGCGTGTGATCAGTACAGGGCCAATCAGCACTATCCAGACAGAGGTCAGGGGTTCTGCATCCCCCTAGAACAAAAAGAAAACTCCTCCTACAAGCTTTAGCTAGTGCTCTGCTGGACACAGAAGCCACAAGACTGCTCTAACTGTTGATGAGAAAAGGTATTTAGCAGTTTATATTTACTAAAATAATTGCACTTTCATGTTGTGTGTACTGTGGGAGACCAGATAGAGTGAATGCAGAATCCTGGGTTTAGTAACACTTTAAACTGATTTTTTTTTCTTTTAAAACAGAGTTTAGTGTCACTTTAATTTCAATGTCAGAAGCCTCTCAAACTGCATACTCCTAGATGTATAGCTATCTCTTGTTTACAAATGTTATCACATTTGTTACTTTGTAGTTTGCTTTTCTGCACAAACAGATGAACATGATGGCAGATTACGCATTGAAAAAGATGCTCTATGTTGGTAGAGCAGCTGATATGTTCTAATATTGCAATGCTATGGTGAGCAAAATAGCCTTTTTGCACGTGCTGCGTGTCTGAGACGCAGTGGTGAAGTGTTCGTCTCACATGGCCCTTAGGACGTTTTGTTTTAGTTAAACATATGGTTTATGTGCTGATCACACATATTATTTTTAAATTTTACATCAGGATATGTTGTGTTAAAGTACATAGATATTGATGTACTGATCACTCCTATAATATACTGTATCCTAGTGGAATCCTTCGCCCTCCACAATATAAAATGCCCATTTTTTTCATTTCTTTTACATTCTGGCCCGACTCCCACCTCCATTCACCCCTAGGTGAGAATTCCTTTCCTGAAGTCTCCTGGATTATGCAGGTCACATATCTCAGGGGGCATCAGCTTCATAACTGAGGGCAGATCTGGTGGTTAGTCATCAGCAGGTCGGCTGCCGGAAGTGAGAAAAGATAGTCAGCTCCCATGACGTCATAGAGGATGATGGTGACATGAGATCCAACGTGTAGCTGCAGATTGACAGATCGCAGTTGGACAACGCTGAATTCACTGGGAAGGTGAGTATATTTTTTGAGTTTAAAAGGTAAGAGAGGTTTAAAAAACTAGAGGTTGAACTTTATCTTTAAAGTAGATCTAAACGCCTTAACATTTTAGTGTAAGGTCAATTATTTTTACATCTGTAGCTTTCTTGGCCATGAAACTTCTTGCACTGGCACTTTCTATTTTGGGGTGGCAACTGTCTCCCAATTATGTTCCAGCATTGTCACTCTGTTATATGCTCCCCTGAGAATGAGATTACAAGACTGCAATGAGACTACAATCGGTCATACTGGCACACATTGCGCATGGGTGTGGTTCATCTTTGTCACTTTTAGAATATGGTACAAAAGCAATAATGTGCAGCTGAAAGCTGGACATCTGGGGTACATGCTCCACTTGTCTTTCAGGGTACCATGCACATAAAACATACAGGTGTGACCAGGGCAAGGCAATAATTACCTGAAATAAAATTCTTAACACAGTTCATAATGCCTACCTTTGATCCTTTAATTGCTGCTTAAAGCTGAAGTTCAGGAACTCAGCCACTTTGTTAATTGTACAGTCATACTATGATTTAACCACTTGCCTACAGGGCACTTATACCCCCTTCCTGCCCAGGCCAATTTCCAGCTTTCAGCGCTGTCACACTTTGAATGACAATTGCGTGGTCATGCAACACTGTACCCATATGACATTTTTATAATTTTTTTGAGACAGATAGAGCTTTATTTTGGTGGTATTTAATCACCTCTGGGTTTTTTATTTTTTCTTAAACAAACCAAAAAACACTGAAAATTTTTGGGAAAAAAAAGTTTTTTCTTTGTTTTTGTTATAGAATTTTGTAAATAAGTGATTTTTCTCCTTCACTGATGTGCGCTAATGAGGCTGCAGTGATGGGCATGGCTGCACTGATAGACACTGATGAGACACTGATGCACACTGATGAGTTGGCACTGGTAGGTGGGCACTGATGGGCATTGACTGGCATCACTGCGGCACTGAAAGGCACTGATAGGTGGCACTGATGGCAGCAGCACTGATAGGTGGCAATGACTGGCATTGATAGGAGGCACTGACTGGCACTGATAGGTGGCACTGAAAGGCAGCTCAGATGGGCACTGATATGTGGCATTGATGTGGCACTGATGGACACTGGCAGGTGGCATGGATGAGCACTGACAACTGGCACTGATGGACACACTGGGAGGTGGCACTGATGGGGCTGGATGACACTGATCATGTCAGGACACACTGATCATCAGTGCCCTGCGGGGCTACACTGATCACACTGTAAACATGTCCCCAGTCTGAGGAATGCAAAAGGATCCATTTCTTAATGAATTTCACATTCTGAGTTCAAATCAATGAAATTTGAGCTGTAAGCTGTAAACGACAGCTTTCTACTATAGGGGAATGAGATAATGCACAATAATATAGATAGCATTTCCCTGTTATAAAGCAAGTGTGATCAGCTGTAAATGGCACATATAGCTGATCAAATGACCGAAGCCGACAATCTTTGGATTCTAGTTTTGTCCATTGATCAGTTTTGATCCTTGTGTCCGAGGGACACAGCTCACCAACTGCGATCGCCACTTCCTCGCGCTCAACCACGGGAGCCGCGCTTTAGGATTGCGCTGTTAGAGGAACTGGACGTATGGGACAAGTGTCATAACTTGTTACTTGGAGGCCCAGAACACTAACATGAGAAATCCGCCTTGCCTTTTTTCCCGTCATTGCACTATTGCACGGCTGTTGGGAGGCGGTTCCTAAAAGTAGAACTATAGGCACTTTTTTATTTTCATTTTGGATACAACAAAGGAGGGTTATAGCCCCTTTTTTGTGAATAAAAGTTTTTCACCCAGAAATTATTTTTATTCCCCATTTCAGGCATTAGAGGATAGTGCAGAAAACGAAATGTAAAGACGAACTCCAATCAGCAAATACTGCAGATGGTGAATTGATGCAATTAAAGGCTAATATTGACCATCTCCATGCAATTTTCTATTGGTCACCAGTATCAATTGCGCAATATGCAGCTGAAGTTGAATCATAAGTGAATGGCTCCCCATTATTAGAGAGTGAATATATCTCCTCTTAACATTTTTTAGGGGTTTTCAGCACAACCTAAATTTGGATTAGCTAATTTTGCCCAAAACTTTTTATTTTCATCAGGACACACTGAATCAGTGCCCTGATATCAGGTAAATGTCCCCTCTGAGGACATGCCGATTACTGAAAGGGACAGCTCGTGGGGAAGAAATGCCAATCCTTAACATGTGATCAGGGATTGGCACAGTCAGCAATTAAATCTTTGGCTCTTTCCATTGATGTTCTCTGTGTCCGAGGGACACAGCTCACCACCGATCGCCACTTTGCTCTGTCCAAAATGCGCGGTTAGAATGGGAAAAAAAAGAGAACTTTGCCTTTGCACTAGGCTGTGTGCTTTAAAGTAGAACTATAGGCACCAATGAGGTGCAAACAACACCTCCTGGACTCATTTCTATTATATACACCTATATGGAGCTCCTGGAGGAGACACCGGAGCTCTAAGAGGAGAGAAGTACACACCAGTGTTAATTTCGTTGACAAAAATATTTTTGTCATAATTTTCGGCAGTGGCATGTTTTAAGTGATGAAAACTAGGCAAAAATCGAGTGCGCATGCGCGGCCAGCGGTGACGGACATGTCTCCCTGAGGCCCTCCGCAGCAGGGAAGACGCCAGATCCAGATCCGCCCGCACCGCCCTACGAGTGGCACCGATCACCATAGCAACCCCCCTGCTACCAGCTGATATCGTCAGGGGGGAGCACAGACATCAAACAGTGCCGCCGCATAAGCCTATCAAAGAGGCCCTGGCTCGAGCCTCTTCAAAGATGGCCGCCGCATCTGGACACAGCAGCAGCCAGCCAGCACCATCTAGATTTGCAGCCCTGCACAAGGAGCAGCCGAGCCATCCATGCACTTCAGAGGGGGAGTCAAATGCAGACACTGAGACCACCATACATGCCTTGACGCCTGACCTTACAAACCCTAACATTTTGGCACGCTTTGAAAAAATGCTGCATAAGACCCTGAAACAGACCTCTGACCGCATTACTGACCAGCTATCCAGGGAAATCCGCGAGCTGGGGCAACGCACTGCAGACCTAGAACAGAGGGTGGAGGACATTGACACATCACTCTAAACGCAAGGGGATGAGATTGACCTGCTGCGTGACGAAAACGCCATACTTCAGGCACGCTTTGAGGACTTTGAGAACCGGGCCAGACGCTCAAACGTGCAAATTCGTGCCCTCCCCCTGAGTCAATTATTGATGTCCATTCTACTGTTACTGCGCTATTTCAAGAGCTTGCCCCTACTATTACGATAGAACGCCTTGAAATGGATAGGGTTCACAGGGCACTAGCTCCGAAGCGCAATGATGGTCCGCGCCACAAGACATCATAGCAAATCTCCATTTTTTTCCGAACGAAGGAGCAACTGATACAAGCCGCCCGCAACTCGGAGTCCCTCATGTTCCAAGGTCATGCTTACCAACTGTTTCAAGACCTCTGCCCTACTACCATCACAAAGCGAAAGGCCATGAAGCCGCACCTGCTAGTACTCCAACAACATGGTATACCATATAAATGGTGCTTTCCCTTTGCTGTGCGTTTCCGATACCAAGCTCGAGACCACGTATGTAAGACCACAGACGAACTTCAGGACACACTACGGAACCTCCAGCTGCTCTCTCCCGCAGCACCATCAGAGAATTCCAGAAGGCGATCGGCGTCGTGCTCACCACAGAAGTCGCAGCCGCCACGGATCCCTAATCGTCAACTTAACGCCCACAAGCGGGGACGCTTTTCATCACCTGCTCCTTCTCCACAAGATTCTATGGACTGAATCCTGTCAGCCATATTTGAGTCTCTAACCTGCTCCCCATGCGGTGGACCGTTGTCATCCACACAGTTGACGCTTGCGGGGTTTAGTCAGTTGACCCCCCACCTGACTGTAGACGCTGCACATCTGTATCCTTATATTTGCCTGTTGGGCTCAAACTGTTTTCCTTTAACCTTTTCCTGAACAGCTCAGGACCTATTTTGCCCTAAATGCAAATTTTCTTGGTTTATTACTTAGTTTGTCATGTTTGGGCTGTTGTTGTACCTCTACCTTGCTTAGTGGACCCTCAGTTCTGGCGGATCAGCTGGTATGGTCTCAGCCTCCTAAGAGGTTGTGCCCGATTGGCTTGAGCTGCCTGCTCCGAGGCTCCCTCGGTTCCTTGCTCAGTGTTTTTGATGTTTTCTTTCCCACCAGGATCGCATTAGCATGCCATTGTCCACATGCTGTCTTCCCAACCGCCTGCGTATCTGTGCACTCACCACTAGCCCCCTTGGTGTCACTTTTTTTGACACCACTTGGGCTACATCCGTTCCTTAGGCCACCCAGGCTCTGGGTGCTCCTGGGGACTGTTTTATTTTCCTGTTTATCCTAGAACACCCTTCCCCCCTATCCCTGCTCTCACGTATGCCTCCTTGTTGTTGTCCAGTTTCTTTATCCGCATATCTTCCTTGCGCCTGACCCGCAAGATCTCTTTCCGGATGGTACCCCATTATCTTACTAATCATTACTTGCTCTACCCATGGGTTCCCTAAACATTCTCACCCTGAATGTTCAGGGTCTTAACATACCACAGAAGCGCAACAAGGCTTTCCGCTCATTTGCTTCCCACAATGCCCATATAGTCTGTCTTCAGGAGACACACTTCACTCCTACCTCTATTCCCAAATTTTTTGGCCCTCGCTACCCGCAGGTCTACGCGGCCTCTGCTGCTACTAAACGCAGAGGGGTTCTAATTGCCCTTCACCGTACAACACCTTTCAAGTTACAGATGAGATTAAAGATCCAGAGGTCATTATTTTTTGCTCATTGGGCAATTGCTGGACTTTGAGGTCACCATTGCCACATATTACGCCCCGAACCAGGGTCCTCTGCCATTTCTTTCCCATCTCCTTTCTATTATTGATCATCACAAGCGTGGCACGCTCATAGTCTGTGGAGACTATAACTGTATAATATACCCCATTCTAGACAAATCCCCTCAATCCCCCTCTCCGCACACCCCCAAATATTCCTTCCAATCCATACTGCAACAATATTCACTGATCGACACACGGAGAGAACTCAATCCTATAAAATGCCAGTACACCTTTTACTCCCACCCTCATAAGGTTTTTTCAAGAATTGATCATATTTTTATGACCACCAGCTCTTCCCCCCCGTATTCTGGTTTCCGAACATCCTTCCAATTCCCTGGTCAGATCACTGCGCTGTGATCACCACCATTGCTTCTCTGGCTCCATCCCCCCCCGATCCCTCCTGGACCATTAACGAAAGCCTGCTTGCTAACCCTTTGCATTGCTCGGATATAGAATTATCGCTTAAGGATTATCTTTCATTGAATCAAATCCCTGAAATCTCCCCCTCCTTCTTTGGGAAGCGCACAAACCTGTACTCCATGGAATCTGCATCAGTAAAGCCTCCTTCCTAAGTAGGGAAAAGAGACAAAAACGCCTTCTTCTCGAACAAGCTTATGACCAATCCCATATTGCTTTCCAGGCATCCCCCACCCCTGCTAATAAAGAAGCCCTTGAACAATCTCGACTAGCCCTTGATCTCCCTTCTTACGGACCAAGCCAAGCTTTCTCTCCGTAGATCTCTGCATAAATACTACACTAAAGCTAATAAACCTGGCACTTTTCTTGCTCTCTCTCTCCGTAGACTAGATCTAGCTGTTAAACCTATAAGGTTATGGACTTCATCTGCAAATCTCACTAGCAACCCGGAACGGATCCTGCAAATTTTCCACAAGCATCTCTCGCGTCTTTATTCTACCTCCTCACCCTTTGACTCTTCCCAGGCCGGTGCCCTTTTTGCTTCCCTCCCTTTCCCGAAATTGGCCGAGAACCACCTAACAGCGCTGGAGCGACCTGTCTCCATGGCCGAAACCTTAATTGCCATTAACCTCTTAAATCTCCGTAAGCGTCCAGGACCCGATGGCTTTTCTGCCACATATTATAAAAAGTTTGCCCACATACTCGCGCCAGTTCTAACAAATGCACTCAATGCTATACTTTCGGGCCAAACTTTTTGCCCAGACACAGTACAAGTCA